CTTTAAATTTAAGTATTTGATTTGATTTTAATTTTTTAAGGACATTTTATATTAATTGGAAGGTATCTCAAGTTAAGCAAGAATCAAAAATCAAATTATGAAAGCCTTTGGCAGTTACTTGAAATGGATCCTTATTCCAAAATAAGCATCACTATTTCGAAATAGCTTATTCCTTTGTCTTGCTCTTATTCTAAGTGTCCACATGTTACCTATTCTAAAATAGCTTATTCCAAAATAGTCTTGCCTTATTTTGAAATAGTAAAGCTATTCATGATACATTTCTCATTACTACTTATTCAGGAATAGCTTATTTGAGAACAACTTTACTTATTTTTAAATAATAAACTTTAGATCAATAAATCGTTTTCTCTTTCGATATAAGTTCTTTACTTTAAAATAATCTCTCAGCATCTTCATTTAGATTATTTTTTACTATTTTGAAATAGCATCACTTATTTTGAAATAATCATGCTGTTTGATGCTCTGTTCCTCACGAGAAAAACAGGAGCTTTTCGAAACTCTCTCATTCCTTTTCTTTCATCTTTGAATTCCTTATTCTATAAGAACCCTAGTCAAGAACTTGAAGCTTGCAAGCTTCCTTTGCTGTCTCCATTTTTCACAATCAATTGTGAAAATTCCTTCCCTTAAAAGATCCACCACAATCCCCTGACTCTACTTCCCTTTTAAGTATTGTGGAAGCTTGACATATGAGGGACTTACCAGTGATTGGAGGTCAAATAAGGAGGGAGCATCAAATTTACTGGCGATTAGGAAACTAAAGGGCCTTGGTGAAGTGAATAATGATAGGAAGGACGAAGGGACTCACCAGTGAAACTGTGAACGAGGGAGAGAGGGGGAGACAACGAGATTTTTTTTTTGGCCAAAGGCATGACGAGTTCAAGCATAGAGAAAGGGGGTGACATGACTGACGATAGAGCTATGAATTCAGGCGGATTGGGCCTATTCGAGCTCGGCTCTAATAAGCTTGGACCCAAACAAGCTGTACTCCCTAAAAAATCTGAATAGCAAGCTCGGCTGGAAACCCAAATTTTATTTTTAAAATTATTGTTAATTAATTTTTACTTTAAAACCAATTATTTTATTTTATAAAAAATGTATAATATATTTTTTTATACTTAAATAATGTATAGGACTCAAATACATGGTATTTTAATATAAAATAACTTAAATCTTAAAGAATTAATTCATATTTATTATATATATTTTTTAAAAATAATCCTTTTATTTAGGTATTTGGGTCTGCTCGAATAACCCTGAACATAACAAAATATTTTTTCTATGCTCGGTCCTAAATTTTTTCTAATGAGTTCAACTAGCCCATCAAACTTGGCCTAAATTACTAGCTTTATCTGATGATGAGGTAGGGAGAGGGGGATGAGATTGTGAGATGGAGACACAACTGCCAACTCTTCAAATTTATGGGCCCTACTTGCTCACTTAATGTTCATTAGCATCAATTTAAAGATATGATACTAGGTGATTCATTTTTAAAAGTTTAAGGGGTTAATTGAATCAAAGTAGAGTTTTAGGACACTAACTATTTTTAAGGGTAAAATTCAGGGGCAAAATAGATTTTAACTTTAAAATTACATAAACTTCCTAATTGTTTTAATAACCTACATTTTAATCTAATTTTTAATAAATATTTTTGTTAGACATTTAAAATACTTAATTTTTTATTTATAATTATATTAAAAATTTTAAATTATTAATTAACCTTGTAATCTAAATGTTTACTCTATCTCCCCCAATTTTAAAAAACTTTAAATAATTAACTATAATAATATTTAAATTTAAATAAATAATCCAATAATGTGTTAAAATTAATAAAATTTAAAAAGACAAACTTAAATCTTATTAACTAATTTATTTCTTGTCATATTAAATTTCTATTTCATTAATTTTTTATACGGATTTGAAATATTATTTTAAATAATTTATATATTTAATTTTTATAAAAAATATTGAAAATATAAGTTTATATAACTAAAATATTTTAAATATGGAAAAATGCATTAAATTTTTTTTGGTAACTTGAATGAATTTTAGATAATAAATAAAGAATATTTTGATCAATACATATAACTTAACGGTCAACTAATAAGTGTATGAATGAAAATAAAATTATAAAAATAAAAGACAAGTTTGTGTTTGTCATTATTAATTATTAATTTTAAAGGAAGTTCACATATGGTTTAAAAATAAAAAAAGATATTTTTAATTAAGATAAAATAGAGAGAAAATCAGTGTATTTTACTGTAAAATAAAAATATCTATTACTTTATTTTTTAAAAATGTAACTATTTGTCCCTTTAATTTTAACATATTTTTTTATTGCTCTAAGTACATTAGAATTTATCTATATGCTAGTCCTTATATTTTTAAACATGACTATAAGGAAAGAAAAAAAAATCAAACATCATTAAATCATACTCTGTTTGGTGCAAAATATAAAATATTTTTAACTATAATTCGAATACTACTAAAATCCAGTTATATCCTTGTTTTTATTTATAAATATTATAAGTTTTTCTTTTTACCCTTTTTCTCAATTTCAATAATAAATTAAATGAGAGGGATAATATTTTTTTTTAATGAAGTACGATAACACGAGAAAGCGTAAACCTAGTTGCAGACTAATAAAGTTTTAACTATCATGAAAACTGAGAAAAATATAATAATTATCAATAAAACTACACAACAAACCAAGTTAATAAATATAAGAGTAAAATAGAAAAAAAAATTTAACACCTATTAAGTATTTTATATTTTGAACAACATGAGTTGGAAAAAAAGTCTTATCATTTCAGCCAGAGGGAGTAATTCTTAAACACAACAGCTAGGACAAATAGGCAAAAAGGCTAATAATCATTTTACTCATACAATGTTCAACTTATTATGATCTTGTCAACTCAACAATAAAATCAATAGAATTATATACACATCAGCATGTCCAATTCTGTCAATGATAATAAGAATTAACGTTACAACAAATAAAATTTAAGAAAGTTAGAATAATGAAAAAAATATAGAAACTGATATCAAATAAAAGAGTAAAAGTATATGAACAAATAATTATATATTTTTTATTTTCAATGGTATATTCGTAAATTTCAAGTTCGGACAAAACTGGAGCCCCTGGCCTTTCTCACGTTGGCATCAATCATCAATTGCCTCAGCCTTTCAGCCTCTTCCCACTTGTGCCTCAAAACATACAAATCGGATATGAGCGTATACATCCCTCCATCATTTTCAGGTCTCACCACCCTCAAGACCTGCCCAATCACTCTCTCAGCCATCTCAAATTGCCCATGCTCCTTGCAAGCCGACAAGAAAGATCCCCATACAACAATGTTTGGTTCAAGCTTCATTGATTTGATTATCTCGTAAGCTTCCTCTAGCTTCCCTGCTTTCCCAAGCAAATCAACCACGCATCCATAATGTTGAATCCTTGGTTCTAGCCCGCACCTCTGGATCATCTTGAAATACTCATGTCCCTCCGTGACTAAACCAGCGTGAACACAAGCACTGAGCACACCTGTAAAAGTCAGTTCATTGGGTTTGATTCCCGCTAGCTGCATCTTCTCAAATATGGCTAAAGCTACTTCGCTGTACCCATGTTGAGCGAAGCCGCAGATCAGTGAAGTCCAAGATATGACATTTCTTTCCTGCATCAGCGCAAAAACATGGGAAGCAAATTTCAAACACCCACATTTAGCGTACATGCTAACTAGGACGGTACCCGATACCACACTCAAGTCCCATCCATTCTTCATCATGAAACCATGAACAGATTTTCCGGCTAATAATCCAAGAGAGCCCATGTGGGTACAGACTGATAAAACTGATGTAGTAGTTATTTTATCCGGTTTAACTCTCTCATGCCCCACCATACGTCGAAAGTGTGATAAACCTTGTTCATAATATCCATTATTCGTGTAAGCAGCAATCATGGCAGACCACGAGGCCACATCCCTGTGCGGTATTTTCTCGAAAACTGACAGTGCTCCTTGGATATCCCTTCGCCTTGAATATCCAGTATCATCGTGTTCCACGATACTGTATTTTTCTCGGGCATTTCGTCGAACAATTGGCAAGCATCCGCGAAGGAAGCGGCGATATAGGCGTTCAAAAGAGATGTCGCCACATAAACGTGAGAGCTAAAGCCAAGCTTGACGATATCGGCATGAAGGTGACGAGTGATGGCGGCGTCCTGCAGAGGAGTACAAGATTTTAAGGTGAAGAGAATGCAGAAGCTATCAAAAGGGACCCCATTGCGGTGCATTGAGAGTAGAAATGTAGGGCTTTCCGAGGAGAGGAGACATTTCTCAAAGCTATTGCCCATGAACTCAAATTTCCAACAAACGACGACACTGAGTGATTCATATGTTACGTTCAATATTCAGGCTGACAAAATTTATCATCTGGAGAAACATCACTGCTAACGGATAAACAGCCCGATCTGCAATATGAAGAAAAAAAATGCCATTCTTGAAGGCTCGAAGTTAAGTTGAATGAGAAGTGCAACTGTTAGCGGACGCTGGCGATGGATCACGTAGGGGTGACCCGGGGCCTACTGGATGCGGAGGAGTTCTGAGAGATTGCGAAGGCAATGTGGAGGTGGGGGAAAATCGGTAAAAAAATGCTACTGTAGACTACAGTCTGTAGTTTATATTAAAGATATTTTTAAAATATTACAACATCTTTTTAAAATAATTATCAAAAAAATTTATCACCCAACTTTTTTTTTTTAATTCTTTTCATATGAGATAGTATGTGCCTCGACAATTAGAACAGAGGAGTAGGGTTTCAAGTACCGCATTATTAAATATTGAAATTATTTATATTATTAAATTAAGTTTATTATTCACAATTTATGAAGTATCTGGATTTATATATTATATTTTTTTTTATTGATGATAATAGAAAAATTAATAGTATTTGGCGTCCGGGTCCGAATCTTCCAGAAGCATTAGAAATCGAAGCAAGCATGGGAAGAGGGAGAGCTTGACGGAGGGAAGTGACTCTGAGAGCACCCACGAGAGAGCATATCAATGGCTTTCAGTGGAAAAGTCACCGTCTCCGCTATATGTCGTGCTCTAATCTTCGCCAATAACCGTAGCAATATTTCCTTTGCCTCCTCTTTCTTCTGCAATCACCTCCCATCCAGATTTTCTGCATCGCCTTTGCCTTCCTCTGCATATCATTTCCTTAAAATCGCCAATTTCAGCAATACTAGTACTAGGCTGTTTTGTAGTTCTGAAGCCAACCCCGCCAAGAAGAAGGTCGACACCAAGGTCAATTTTTCTCTATCCGATTCTGACTCTGAGAGTGAAAATGAGGACGATTCAAAAGATGCCCGGAAAGAAACTGACAAGAACAGGAAGCTGCCGCCGCCTTATGACCCCTTTAATAAGAAGCCGCCGGTAGAAGAGCCCAAGGATCCAAAAGATTTGCAAGAGATTTTCCACAACATGAGAAGCGGTGACGGATTGTTAAATCACGCAGTCAAGATGTTCGACGCATTGTCCAAAGACGGTCTCACCCACGAGGCTTTGGAGCTGTTCCGTCAGATAAAAGACAAGGGTCAAATGCCCGACGTGGTGGCTCACACGTCCATCATCGAGGCCTATGCTAATGCTGGTCAGCCCAAGGAGGCTCTCAAAATTTATATGCGCATGCTGGCTTCTGGGGTGTCTCCCAATGCTTATACCTACACCGTTCTTATCAAGGGGCTTGCTTCTGATTCCAAGTTTTTGGGAGATGCCAAGAAGTATGTGTTGGAAATGATGGAGAAGGGCATGAAACCCAATGCTGGGACCTACACCGCCGTGTTTGAGGCACTGGCTAGGGACGACAAAACGGAAGAGGCAGGAGAGTTTTTGGAGGAAATGAAGGCCAAGGGATTTGTTGCCGATGAGAAGGCTGTGAGGGAAGTTCTGAGTAGCAAGAGGGGTCCCATTTTCAGAACCGTCTTGTGTATTCTTTTTGGCCGTTAACTAGCGAACGTCTCGGCATGGTCACAGCGGGTTGTTTGAATTTTAACTGAGATAAGAGTTGTGTCACCTGCAGTATTGTTTTCTGGGTTCTTTGTTTTGGACGCATGGTTTTGTTGATTTGCAGTGGGTAACCTTGTTTAAATTACTTTCAGCCATCCTATCCTAGGTCGAAAAGCATTTAAATGCGACAAATACTGACCAGCTTGGCCGCGTCGTTCTTATTCTTGACATCTGCCACGTCTACTTATGGAACGTTGGCAATCACTTAATGATACAAGCCCTGCAATTTGAATGAAAGAAAAACTGCATCAGTGTACTTAATAATGAATACTCATATTTGGTACTTTATCCATTCCATTCTCGAGCTGCACATCTAAAATGCGAGAGCTTAATCCGTTAAAATGAGTCTCCTAGTGCGAACCTAAGGATGGATGCCAATTTACGTGAAGTTCAAGGTAGACTACAGTGTTTATGTTTCATGGGAAGTGTGACTGCGTAGATATAGATTGAGAATATGAGCCAATCCTGATCATATGAGTTGGCCCATATAAGTTAGGAATAATATAGATTGAATAGAGTTTAACTTATTTTTATATAGATTGAAATTTCAACCCTTAAGAGTTAGTGGGTTAAATAGATTAACTCGTCAACTCATTTTATTTTATTTTTTAATTTATTTTTTATAAATTTTTAAAAATACACTTAAATGAAAATGATAAAAAGTTTCAATATGATATTCCTTCTTGTTGTGATTCATTTTAGATACACTAAAATGTTAACTCATAATATTTATATAAAATATGTGAATTAAGTCAACCAAATCATGACCATCTATCAAATGTCATGAATCTATAATATTCCTCCATTTTTTATATTTTTATTTTTTTTAAAAAATAATATGGGTTCAATAGACCAACCCTAACTCATTAGGATTATTCCATATGGTTTACAAGTTATTTGGTTTGGAAAAAAAAAAAACTTGCTTTTATTCGAGTCAATTTGTTTAACCCAACCCAACCCCTATGGCCAGTTATTTAGGCCAAATCATATAACTTGACCTATATTTCCAACTCTATATAAGTATGTATATAGACAAATGTGCATATATCTCAAAATTAATTCATATAGGTTGCTCATCTTTAAGTATCTAAAAGGATAAAAAGCAAATTTAATCAATAACTATTTTTTCAAAAGCATTGAGTAACTTATATTATTAGGTGATGTGAAATAAATCTTTAAGTTCTAAAAATGAAGCATTCAATGGCTCACCATTAACTTCACTCGATGGATATTATGTATGGCCCACAAATGACATGTGGTATGCCACCTCAGCAAGTGTAAGAATGAAAATTTAGTCACAAATTATTTTTTCAAAAGCAGTAGGTAGCCTCTATTATAAAAAACAGACCATCTGAATGTATAAATGGTGTTTTAAAGATAAGAAGATTGAAAAGATTGGCGCGTTATGAGTCTCATAAATTTAAAAATAAATAGTGTTTGATTAAAATTGATGAGAAGATATTGAATGATCTATTTTTTATAATAAAAACTATTCAATACTTTTTGAAAAATAATTCGCAGCTAAATTTACACTACCACTTATCATTTATAAGTCTCACATAATGTCTATCGAGTGAAGTTAACAATAAATTATTAAATGTATAAATTAATTTAAAGTTAAAAATTTATTTTATACTACCTGATAGCATAAACTATCCCACGCTCGTAGAAAAATAATGTGACCAAATTTGCACACGTATCCTATTTAAAATTAATTTCATGGTTGACTTGTAAAGTTCATAGTAAAAGTTTAAATTAAAAAAATCTCTTATATTTTAATCTGATATGAACATTTTTATATTTAAAATCGATTCAACGTTGACATTTAAAACAATTTTTCTGAATTTTAGATTTTAATAAAATATTTTTGTTTTTGTTATCCAATCCAATTCAATCTTTTTATTCATTTTGATTGCAGTTGTATCTAAAGCTACTTCGGTATAAAATATAATTATAACCAAGTGCCAAAAGTCTAAATAAACAATATCCAGTCTCACCATCTAAACGTTTCTTTCCAATCATACCAGCTCTCAACGGTCCATCCATTCATGCATGGTTATTCCTATTTTTTTTCTGAACCATAAGAGATTTAACGAGATTAACACATTAGTAACATATTAATTGGGAAGGAAACACGGGATCGTACATAATTGCTGTTCTTGCTAAATATCACAAATACAATACGAATGATAACTTTAAATCCCGCGTGAGAGGGAATGAACTCCGAGGCCAAAAATGGAGACACCCGTTCCAATGACGGCAAATTAACGCTAATTCTGTAATTCTTCCAGCGAAGTATCTTTTAATTTCCTGAACCTATTTGCCCCCACTGGCGGCAGCTCAAGTTTCTCTGAGAAACATGGTGACCTATAGAATGGCGAAACTATAAATTTTAGAAGCCTCGTTTGTTGGGACATTCAGATGCACGATGTCCAGATTGCCCACAGTTAAAACAAGCCCCTCCAAAGCCTCTGCAATGAAATGAATAACAATTAGCCAAATTTAGGTCTTACTGGGTTCCCATAACTCAAGCAAGAACAAAATTACCAAATAACAGAATTCTAAGCAAAGAAATAAGTATGCCATCTCTCTTCTCAACCAAACCCCTAAAACCCACCCCCAGTTTTTCCTTTACACAGATGTCAACATTTTCCTCGTATATTGAGGATAAAACATCTGTTGGATGGAGGGAATGCTTTCCATGAGAGGTACAAAATAAAGCATACCTTCAGAAGGGGCAGACTAAAATGTCAGGAGAAATCATACCTGTCTGATGATGGAGACCTGCTTGATCTTCTACCTCCAATTAGCCAATCATCCTCGTTGCTTCTTGCCTTTTGAGACCAGCTATTGCCATTTCTATAACTTCGACCACCTTTCCTATTTGAATCAAACAATTCATCAAAGCTTCCACTGTTTCTTGACTTTTGAGACCAGCTATTGCTGGTTCTAAAACTTCGACCGCCTCTTCTATATGAATCACCAAATTCATCATCAGAATCAAAGCCCCCTTCTCTCCGTGAGGTTTTAAAACCTCTCCGATCCCTAGAACCTCTACGATCTCTGTCAGAAAACTTCCCATAGAAATCACTTGGTGGCCCATCATCTTGCAAAGGAGGCAACTGCTAGCACAAAGAATGCATTATTCAGAGAGGCAATACGCTGGTGCCCAATTATGTTTGCCCCCGGGGGGCTGTTTTAATATGGTATTTTGATAAAGAGTTTATTAGAAGAACATAGCAATTAAATGTATAATTTACCTTAGTGATCTTAGAAATAGTGTTGCCAGGTGGTATTTCCTTGTTCAGTAACTCCTTTGCAATCTCCTCTGGAAGATCGAAAACAGCCCCTTGAACCTGATGATCAAAACATCAAAAAAGTTGAACAGTTTAGGAGCACCTCAATAGACAGACACAAATTCCTAACGAGACAAGCACCAAGAAGAACTACAGAAACAAACCCTTTCGTCTGCAATTATATGTATTTTTCCAACTTCATCAGCAGCTGGAGAATAGACATCAGAAAGAAACCCAGTGACTGATCTTGCAGAAAAAAACCTTCTAGAATCTCCTTGATCTCGAGTCAGTTGTAATGTAACCCATCCCTGCAATACCGATGATAGTTTCAACGAGCTAAATAGTTAATATAATTCAATCAACAGATATATGTAAGATAAACTAAAAATTTAGCATGCAGCACATTGGACTTTTTCAGACTAAAACCAAAGTACTTGCATCCAGATAGAAGTCAAATGCAGTTTAAAAAAAAGATCCACATGACATAGACAGCATGAAACATCTTCAGGCCAAGCATTATGACCACCATAGATTAGTAGATCCCCCAAGATTAGATGTTCTGTGCATTGAAGAAAACATTGTTCATTATACTGGTTTTGGAAGCTCTCACATAAAAGTATGCAGAATATTGTAAAGAAAGACAAGAAGAAACAGGGAATTATTGACTTTGACAAGTTGGCTAAATGAAAGCAATGCAAAGTATAGTTCACTTTAAACAAAAGTGCCAGCTATAAGATTGTAAAACGTTAGCTTCAATGTAAACAAAATCCTCTAAACTACCTGCTCATGATTGATAAGAGACCGTGATGAGGGAGGTTTTGAAAATCCACTCAGATGTGCGAGTGCAGCTGCAAGGGCACTTGTTCCTTGTTCCTCAATCAATTTTTGTGCAGTTGGGGTGAAAAACTCAATGGATTCAGGATGAACTCTATTAAGTGTGGCAACCACTTGGTCAGCTGATGATTCCAAAACATCACCTATAGCTGGTGGTGTAATAAATTCGAATTTACAGCCTACATCACGCTCAAGAGATCTAACTGTTCTCCTCTGGCTACTGGTGTACATCAAAAGCGCAGTACCTTCCTTTCCAGCACGCCCAGTACGACCAGAGCGATGTACAAACGTCTCAGGGTCATTCGGAAGTTCATAGTGAATAATCTGAAGAAAAAGGCCACAACAGCTTAGCACTAACCCAAGGAAAATATAAGGGCTTCTACTTCAAATATAAATCAAACACTTGCCTGATTGGAAGCAGATTAACTTCAGTCAGAAAGAAGACAACATATTTTTGGGATTAACTTATACATTAGATATAAACACATATTATCAAATAAAAAAACTTAATTCGTCAATCAAATGAAAAAATCACAGTGAAATTACAAATATGACTAAAATATCGAGATGCATGATTGTGTGTGTAATATAATATAAAGGTCAGATGCAGCGAAAATCCCCTCAAAGTAAAACATAGATAAGCCAGGAACAGACCAAAACACACTATATAGCAAATATATATATATATATATAGACTCAAGTGGTTGGGTCTATGGCCTCAAACTTCAGACTAAGCTGGTAAAAAAACCAAGACCAGCGATTGAATATTTAAGACATGAACCCCAAAGCATCCTATTGAACTTACCAGATCAACATTAGGAATATCAAGTCCACGTGCTGCCACATCAGTGGCAACAAGAACCGTGAATTTCCCTTGCCGAAAGCCATTCAATGTTCTCTCTCTCTGATGCTGAGATATATCGCCATGCAGTGCCTCAGAAGGTATGCTATTTGTCAATGCCAATGATACTTCATCAGCATCTCTTTTTGTCTGGGTAAAAACAATAGTCTTTCCACCCTTTGCATAAACCTACTTGCCATGATAAAATGATAACATGACCAACATTAGCATTTAAATTAAAAATAGAAAATAATTAATCTTGTCAATCTAGTATATTTGAATTCACAACATAAGTCTATCAATATCAAGGTGTAAAAGTTTGGCGACAATTTTTAAAAGGAAGATATGTAAAAGTTAGACATCTAGACATTTACTTGAGAATGCCTTTGATATGTTTAAGAGAGAATGCACTAACACGTATAAAAAAAGTCATATGAGATAATTAGAGTTTCGTGAAGCATATGTCCGATGAGAATGTGATGGAACTCTACTGCTAAACAGATAAATATGCAGAGATAATAGAGATTAATGACCAACAAATCAGGAGAAATACTGGGGTTTGATAATAATAATCCCAAAAGGCTGAATCAATGTTACAAAAGACACTTCAGCGATTCAAACAAACCCTATTCCCAAGTTACAGCCGGAACTCACAACACTACTATGGAACCCAAACACATGCAATGCTATCTAAGCATGCCCTCTGGTTTTTGAGAGCCAGTCTCTCCCTTGAACAAAACCCAAAAGTAATGACTCTCCCCCCCAAACGAAACTAACGGCTACTATAACCCAAAAGCAAAGTGCACAGTCTCCCACACCAAGTTCTGCTAAAGCAGACCTAAAACCACTATGAGTCAATACTAGGTTTGACTAGCTTTCTCCTTAAGAGTAAGGAGAGCAAGGTCAACGTTCTGCCCCTTAGAAAGATGCTTTCCCTTTTCTTGTATTTTTCTGAATCTCCTCTTATAGGTTTTTCCAGCAAAACAGAGTCTATCAGAATGATAATCCAAAGCTTGATTAGCATACACGATTGTCTACATCATGAAAGGGAATCTCTCGAACGAGTAGGTAATCTGCAATATTCAGCCATCTCTTAAAAGTTTAAACATTACGGTCCAAGTTTTATACTCATTCTCATTTCAATAGATTTTGAATTTAACGACTAGAAAGAAAAGTAAGTTAGCAGCATTCAACGTTACTTGACATGATTAAATAATTCATCAGGCTTGTAAGTTATAGCTGAATATCAACGATTTAAAAAAGAGGGGGGAACAGCAAACTGCAGATCTTACAGTTATGAGATCAGAAAGCATTGTCCGCTTTGAAGTAGCAGTGGCTGATATTGCATAAAGTTTGATCCCTTCCGCAAGTTTTTCCTCTTCTTCACCAACCTATTGAGAAAAACAAATAGAGTCACAATCATTATTCTTCTTTTCAGATGCAGAGCATCAAAAACATGTTTTAACTTTTACGCAATCTATATTGGTACAAGACTTGTTGTTGTAACTTTCATTCTACAAAACTCAAATTACTTCTCAAATATCTTCCCCAAGCTACATAGGGCGAGGAACTAACCTACGAGATATGGAGATGTTTTGGAACGGATGAAAAATAGGGTAATAATATGTTGCACCACTATTGCCAGTATTTTTAAAATGGAGGCAAAAATAAAAATACTTTACCAAATCAATTGTCAACGGATCGTGTAAATATTTCTTGGCAAGTTTCTTCACCCAGCCAGGCATGGTTGCAGAAAAAAGCATGCTCTGCCGTTCAGATGGTAATTTCTCTAAAATTACTTCTACATCCTCCTCGAACCCAACAGCAAGCATCTGATCGGCCTCATCAAGGACCAAATACTTCACTTCACTCAGTTTAAGACTGTTCCCATTTATTAGGTCAATTATTCTACCAGGTGTTCCAACCACTACATCAACACCACGAGAAAGTGCATTTTGTTGTGTAACATAAGAAACGCCCCCATAAACACAAACTGTGCTCAAATAGGGTGCAGATTCTTTTATCTCTTTCTCCACTTGCTTTGCTAGTTCCCTGGTGGGTGCAAGGACCAATACTTTGGGCAAACGACCAGATCGTCTGTAAGAAACCAAAAGTGTATGATATGCATGAATTGAGTCTGAAGTTATAAGCCTTCTAATGCAAGAATCGTAATGATGAGTACCTCAGGGAGATTCTTTGTTCATCGTCAGTGAGCCCTCTAATAATTGGAATCCCAAATGCTAGTGTCTTTCCAGTCCCAGTCTTCGCTCGGGCAATAAGATCTCGACCTTGGAGGGCCGGCACCAAAACAGCTCTCTGATCACAAATTGTAGGTTTCTTGTTACCAATTTATTTGAAGTGGAGTAATTCTAATTCATGAACTTATAATAATGGAGTTTCTTTAAAGAAGGAGGAGGAGAAGGAGGCTTCTGGGCTACAAAATTTACCAGAAACTATTAGATGTGATGAACATCTTGAAATGAACATACTAAGCTATCAAAATGTGGGGTTCGACATATTTATGACACTAGAGGTCTAAAGCTAGAATATCTGGGTGACTTATCGCAACTCCGCTTCTTCGTGTAAAGAAGTATATTAACGATAAGGTTACGCTGTTATAGATAATTAAAAAAAAAATCACGCGATGGAAAGAGAGAACGATATAGTATCAGTGGCGAAGTGAAAGACAACACCTGAATGGGGAAAAGATGATTGATCCCACGTTGCTGGAGTGATTCCACAAGGCGCGAAGGCAAGCCCAGCTTGGAAATGTCGAGCTCCTCCTCGTTGCCAACAGCTAAAGAAGCCTCGGTTTCAGAGTCATAGCCATAGTCATCGTTTTCAGTAGCATCATCCAGAGGTTCTTTGTCGGAAAAACCCCGACCTAGGCCCTTGAACGCTTCTTCACTCAGAACGGAAGAATTGGGCGTGGCAATCGAAGAAGGAACAAAGCTAGCTCTAGGTTTAGCCCCACTCTTGAAATTTCCGCTACCATTGTTACTGAGGTGAGCTCTCAGAACGTTGTTAAAGTGGGACTTGTTGTCAGAACATTGGAACGAAAGGGAGGTGGTAGCACCCGTTGTTGTTGTAGCTCTTTTATATAGCTCCAGAGACGGAGTCTGGTATATAGACGAAACGCCTATTACAGAAGACATTGTCTCTTGAAAACAAAAGGGGTTGGTCACTTGAATATCTAGGAACCAGCAAGTATTCACTCAAATTCTAAGAACCGGAGAAGGGGAGACTCGGTGTGAAGGAAGCAAAAGATGGAAGAAACAGCGGGGACAGCGAGAATGTACTTCACTTCACAGGGGATAGGGCGCAAGAGTGTAAAGAGAGGATAAGGCCACGCCCTTTCACGAATGTATGGCCTTTCAGACCTCCACCTCGAGGGATATTTATTAGATATTTGAATCGGTCGGGTTTTCTTCTTGGGTTATTGCCCATTAAGCGCCCCATCCATAGTTGGTGTGTGTTTAATTTTTAACTAGATTTTGCCCCGTGCATTTTTCATCATTAACTACGGGAAAGATTTTATCATTAAATATATAAAATATTAAAATTTTTTAAGAGCCATTGCATTGATAAGTGAAAGAAAAATATTTTAGAATTACAATATTTATATCATATATGATCAAATTTTTCTTGCAAAAAAGATTTCATCATACATAAAATTCACTATTTTTGTTTCGAAAATGTTTATCTAAGGTCTACTAAAAAGAAAATTAATTACATGAGCATTTAATCAGGCCAATTTACTATGATAAAAAAATTATTTTATTTTTGGTTAATATGAGGTAGACATGCATGTCTCTTAAATAACCAATATTAGCAATTGAAACTCCCACTCCATATAGTCAAAGGAGTTATCTACAACAGTAACTATGAGAACATTTATGTGCTAGAAGCAACTTTATACTTCTTCATTGGGTCTCCTTCCTTATTTTTAGAGGATTCCTCTATGGCTTTGTCAGTCTCGTGTTCATCGGTAGGATTTGACACTTCTAGCTCTATTGTAACATGCAAAAGAATTAACTTCAATTAGTCCAGTAAAAGAAGCTTGAATTATGATGATAGCGATCCACAACACTGCATTCTACCACCGAAAAATGCTTCACAACATAGATGAACTATAAGTCATCATCAAAGGAAAGACAATATAGGGAAATTCATGGGGTCAAGGCACGTTGCAACTTGATCATACGGACTAAGTCATCATCTCAAATGTATAAAGCTTTCCATGAAATCCTATTTTTTAAATAAAAACAAATATTGTACTACCAAAAATTATTTTAATACTCATAACTACTAAACTATCTTTACCAACAGCAATGCATTAATGTGACGTTGACGTGTTGCGACAGTAAACCAATGCTTAGCATAAATAGAAAAATTTAAATAACTAAAATCAAATATTATTGACCAAGTTTAAAAGAAGTACAAGGAAAAAAATTTTAATACTTTGCGCCAACTTCTAATTTCTACAAGCAAGTATCCTCTATAGTCAATAACCTTGCAGAAAATACAATGTCACCTAGAAAATCATAGAGGACAGTTAACTCTCTTTAACATCATTCATCCCACCAAATTTCTGCAAAATACAAATAAAATCAGCACAAGTAATATCAGCAAGAGAGAGAGAGAGAGAGTTAAACCTGTTGATTATAAAAGAATATCAAATACTGAGAAGTCCCATCCCTTTGAAGTCCAAATCACAACGTTCTCTTGATTACAGAGTGGCAAGTCATTAGATTGGTGCTTAAAAATAAAATATCTTTTCATGACTTATATTTCAGGAATAAAAATTTTCTTTTCATGACTTATATTTCAGGAATTCAAGTAAAATAACATGATTTACAGTTGCGCATACCATATAATATTAAGAAGAATCATGCATAATTATGGTGATTACTGACAACAAATGTTGGAAAAAATTTTTGTGGATACCAAAGTTTACATGAGATACAAGAGGAGAAATAAATGGTTGTCAAATATCCTTTAGACATCATAGAATTAGGGATTACACACATTTGTCCAAAAGAATCTAAATGATGTGATGTGAACTAAGAAGCACAAATATATAGCTAATATGAAGGATATCAAAATATTTTCTGAATTATGAGACTAAATACAAATATAGACCGCGCACCACATGCATGACAAAACATGACATCAAATTTTATCTAATCGAACAAAGTGGTCAGCCACAAGTCTATTTGTTTCATGTGTCATTAAACGTACTAACACAATATAGTTATTTTTAAGATCATGACATGCATGGTATATTATACCATACCTTAGCTAATGTGTAGCACTTAAAAAGCTAACTATAATGAACAAAAATAATGAAATGATAAAAGGCAAGGAAAAAGATGATAGAAATTAACATGAAATATGAAACGCTCAACAGTCAACAGACACAACACATGACATTTGACATGTTAAAGGCCTAATAATGTAATTATAAGGACTTTACTTGCAACATGGTAGAATCTTGTAAATGTACATTTTGCAACCTGAACTCAATAATTTGGTCACAAAAAAACTAAACTTAATGATGACAATTAAATAACTAATACACAATCAAGGAAATACTGGACCATTGATATTTAAATAGCATCCCGAGGAAGGAAGCAAGATCAATAAGAACCTATCTATACACATAGTAATAGAAGAATTTAAAAAACATACAAGCATCTCAAATCTACAATTAATATATTCTGATATAGCATTAATGGGAGGACTGGTGTAGACATAAGATTTAAGTGATATGCTTTCCATAGCTGTACTTGGTACAAAGGGACTTGTTATTAGATTCTTAAGTACATAATTTCATAGCGTATTGTCTTCAACTATTGTACTAATAATCACAAAAAATTCATAAGCTCCTTTAATAATTTCTCTTTCCTTCTCAATCACTACATAACCATCCATGCATATATGTCTATCATGGCCTCACTTGTGTGTTTTAATGAATCTGTGTTAGCATTTCAAAATGCGGCTTTGAGATCTTCTACACGATAGCCGCATGTCTACCTCTGTCATGGTTGAGTGTTACAATAGCACATGACTTTTCTATCACGACAGATAAATAAATCTACATGATAGCCATCTAGCAACTCGAGAGCAGTGATAACTGGTAAATAAATATACATGATAGCAACCTTCATTTACTCTTTCCTTCTCAATCACTGCAGAACCATCTATCTGTGTCTATGATGGCTTCATTTGTTTATTTTCATGAATTTGTGCAAAAACACAAAAAACGTGACCTTGAGATCTTCTACATGACAGCCACAAGTCTACCACTACCATCCTTAAGTGTTACAATAGGATATCAATTTTCCATGATGACTGGTAAATAAATCTACATGACAAGACTTGTGACTTCTTCCTATAGCTTGCAATGTCATGGCATCCTCAATAAGACATAAAGAGGAAAAAGGTTATTCACCATGACAATTACACAGTAAAACTTTTGAAAGAAAAGATAAAGAGATCTCTAAACTATTAACTACAGATCTGTTAAGAAATATTAATCTGAAAAATAAAATAAAAGCCTATAGGATAATAATGCTACAAATAATGGCATCCTGACAATAATGAAATGGTGATTAAAAAGGCATAGAAGATCTCTCGTGAAGTAAACTGAGGATTACAACCTGTATATGTAACCATACCTAAATAAGACACACATCCAACAACAAAATTTTGATTTGATAGATATTGAAAATCTACATGTCAAAGTCTAAAGCAATCCATAGAGATTGCTCTAAAAGCACTCATTAAAAGGAAAGTTGTAAAGGAGAAACAAATTATTTAAAAATGGAATGCATATTTAGTAACGTTCACATAATAATATTTACTTTCAAGAATCAATAGCATTGCCAATGAGAAACCACCTGTCAGTACCAGGTCTTTTTTTTTTTGACCAAGTTAGTACCAGGTCTACTTAAGTACCATAACATGTTTTCAGAATTAATGAAATTATTGCATGCAAATATACTAATTTGCTACATGGTTGATATCTAATAGAGTAAATGGTGAAAACACACAAAAAAAAAGTGCCTGCTATTATTATAAATAAAGTAAAACAAAAAAATAGTGCATGCCTGCTGCTAGCCATTATTTTAGTTCTGAGAGATAAAGACCACGCCAGATTTTAGGGCCTCTTTTCTTTCTTCAATAATCTCTCTGGGGATATCTTTAAGGTAGAAGAAAACTCCAAATACATCATTTCCCAGAAAGAGAAGCATGAAGGAGAAAGCAAAACCTCCCCATATTGTATCAAAAAGACAAGCTTAATCTCGATCCAAAATCAGAGTGACAATACCGTAGTGGGTGCTTTCCTGGAAGGAAAAACAAAAACAAAGAAAACGAATTCATTCAGTTCACTTGCAATGTTAATATATGCATCAAAATTTACTTTAGCCTATCATACAAAGTCAAAGTACTCACTAACCCTTTCCAAATGGTAGCAACAGAATTTCTCAGTTCTTCCAACATAAGACTGCGCTTGTAAATCTGGAAAAAGAAAAAAACCAATATCAGTGCAAACCATAAGTAAAAAAAGAAAAAGTACACCAGAATAATCACAGCCGCTAAAGACTATGTTGATGAAGAAGGAGAGCCAATTGAAAAATTTCATCATTTGGCTTTCTCTATTTCATCCGCATCATCACATGATCAGACCCAAAACCAAAGACACTTAATTTCAAACCTCCAATGTCGAGGGTGGTCACATGTAAAAGAAAAGAAAAGCAACCACAGAGAAGAAAGAAAGGTTCGGGGAGAAATACTCATAGGGAAGAGGTATGAAGAGGAGAGGAATGAAGCGACTGTCAAGGTTGATTGAGCATGACCCCAATCAAAGAACCCAGTAGCGAACAAAAGCAAAAGAGAAGGAAGCGAGACTTATGACCTCAAAGGAGCCAGCGAAGAAAATAGATTAGTGAAAGGAGGGAGGCCGAGGTTTCTTAAAATGGAGGGATAAAGATTTTCGTCATCAACCTCGATGAGGAAGAACGATCTCAGAGCAACTCTAGGGTTTAGATGTCCATCCCTTAGCTTTGCTTCTTGAAAAATAGAGCAGGAGAGGTGAGGTATGAAATAAAGACAAACGTTATCAAATGTTCTAGTTAGAGAGTAAAGAATAAATGAACGAAAGGGGCGGGTGATCGAAGAGGGAAATTTGAATCCGAAAGAATGCTTGTGGAACACGCTAGCCGAAATACCAGAAGACGAAGGACCTTTAATTAATGCCTTGGAAAACTTGCATCGTGGCAAACACTGTTCAAGTACTGCTCATTATCACGTCCCAAACAAAGACAATAGATGGAGCTCAGATCGGGGGAAAAACAGAGAGAGAATAGATGGAGCATTGTTCATTTACTGTAGGTTTACTGTAGGCATACGTGGAACTCACAATTAATGCACACAACAGATGGAGCTCTGATCGGGGGCACAAAAAAAAAGCCATTGACAGAGCACTGTTCATTTATGTAGACATGGCCATCCCGTGATAGTAAAGATAATAGATTTACCAAACATTCATTTATTAAAAATTTATTTGGTTATTATAATAAATTTTTTATTTAAAAATATTTTTTAAAAAGTAATTTAATAAATTAAAAATTATTTAAATTATAATAGTAAAATGTACTTTTGAATGTATAATTATTAAAAAGATATTAATTTATAATGGTTTATAATTTTTATTATATAAATATAATATATTTAAAATATTTAAAAAATATAATAAAGATTTTAAATAATATAAAATTTTATATATAATGCTAAAAATTTAATCTTTAATTATTTGTACTTTTTCATTTATAATTTTAAAAAATGTGATAAAATTTATAATTTTTATTATATTAATGTTAAAAATTAATATGATTAATTACTTAATTTACAATGTTAAAAAACTTGATATTTAATTATTATTATTTAAATGACAACTATATTTTTAATGAATTAACTATTTTTAAATAAAAAAATAAAAAAGTAAAATAATATCTACATTTCAAACCACATTTGAAATCCACAAAAAAAAAATAGAATTTTAAAATTTACATTTTAAATTCATTTCAACCCACTTTTTGAAAGTCATTTTGCCTTCTAAAAAATTACTTAAGCAACTTTTAACATTTTAAAAGTTCATCCCAATATTAAATGAGAGAAAACTAAAAACACCCTCAATATTTATTCCCCGCTAAATTGAATGTTTGTTGCACGCGCTATTAACAAATAAGAGATAAGTGATGATGATTTTTAGATACATTAACAATAATAATATTTTATAAAATAAATTTATGTTATAAAAAATTAAATTATTTGATTTTTTCAGTGGAAATTATTTTATATTTAATTATAATAAAAAATTATTAATTTTAAAAATTCTAATATTTTATATATAATTATTCATAGAATTAAAATTCTTATTCATTATTATAAAATTTTATGGTCTTCGCATCTCCAAATTATGATATTCTTCCTGTTTACGGTATCAAATTATTTTCAGAAAATATTCAAGATAATTTTTTAAAATAATAGAAATTTATTTCTTTAATATTTTAATTATTTAAAAAATTAAATAAATAGCATAAAATATTGAAAAACATTTAAAAAAGTTATTTTTAACATTACAAATGAACATAATAATTGATGATAGATAAATGATAAGTCACGTATACTTCTAATTAGCAGGGGAAAAGGGTATGGCAGTGATATTTTGATTTTTTTTTTTTTTTTAACGCTGCAAGTGAAAATAACAATTGATTGAAAATTATGCGACAAACTTGTCCAATTTGTTAGATGATATCAAACATATTTTTAAATTTTTTTTATTTAATTTATTTCTATCTGTATTTTCTTCCTAGAATCTGATATCTTCCATTAAAAATTGTAGGATGAGCAAGTTTTATATATATAAATATATATATATATATAAAAGTTAAAGTATATTTTTAGTTCTCTAACTTTATATAAAGTTTTAATTTTATTCTTTAATTTTATGAAGCATTTTTTTACTTCTTTGACCCTTACATTGTTAGTTTAAATGATTATTTTTTATGTCTATTACTATTATTTTGAAAAAAAATTAAATTTAATATGTCAATATTTAATAATATTTTTTTAATATTTAAAAATTTAATGTAAAAATTGTTAGAATAAAATTAATATTATTAGGATTAAAGGATTAAAAGATATTTTATAAAGTTAAGAGACTAAAATAAAATGTTATGTAAAGTTAAAGGATTAAATGTAGAATTTAATTTATATATATACTTTTTTTTTGCCAAAGTAAATTGTACTTTATTTACTCTTGGGATTTTTTAAAATTTTCTATTATTTTTTTGCCACGGTCAGGAAAGAGGAGATATTTTTTCATATTTTGTCAAGAGTACAATAAAATATGTACAAATGGTTAAATAATTCAAAAAAAAGTTTTAAAATTATCCTGAATTTAACATATTAAAATTAAAATTTGATAGCTTGAGATTAGAAATGATGAGTTCATGTGTTGGTTAACAGGTATAATAACAACAAATTAAGGGATCAAGCCCAAGGAGCTAACTCATGCTAAATTGCCAATTTACTATCATTGACTTTGAGTCAAATGTAGATTTTTTCTGGAAAAGGATGAGATTTATGCAATGTAAAAAAACATAATGCAATAGAAGCCAAAATATAATTTTAGTTCTTTAATTTTATTTAAAATTTTTATTTAATCCTTTAATTTATAAAGTATCTTTTTAATCCTAACATCATTAGTTTATATGATTATTTTTTATATCCATCATTATTATTTTAAAATATTAAACTTAATATGTTAACATTTGAGAATGTTTTGTTTGATTTAAAAATTTGTTGGGATAAAACTAACAATATTGGGGTTAAATGTTTGAAAGTTAAATTTAAAAATTTTTTGGGATAAAACTAATACTATTAGGGTTAACGAATTAAAAAGATATTTTATAAAATTAAGAGATTAAAATAAAATATTGTATAAAGTTAAAGGATTAAGTGTATATTTTAACTACAACAAAAAACAGGAGATATTTTTTATTTTGTATTATTTTTCCGTAAAGGTTAGAAGACAGGAGATATTTTTTCACCATTTGTTAAGTGTACAATAAAATATGTATAAATGGTTAAATAATTCAAAAAAGAGTTTTAAAATTATCCTGAACTTAGCATATTAAAATTGAAATTCGACAGCATGAGATTAAAAATGATTGGGTTCATGTGCTGGTACGATAAAGGTCAAAGTATAATTTTAGTCATTTAACTTTACATAATATTTTAATTTGATAATTTAATTTTGTAAAATATTTTTTAATTCTTCAATCCTAATATAATTAGTTTCAAATGATTATCTTTTGTATTAATCATTATTATTTTTAAAAAATTAAGGAAAAATCATTCTAAAGTTCCATGGAAGCATTCAAAATATGCTGAAATCCCATGAATTCATCAAATAGCTTTCAGATCCCCAAGGACTTAAGGGTGAATAAGTCTAAAAATAAAATTATTGATTTGTCCTCTACTATTAAAAAAGAAAATTTTGCTTGAACACATGTCTCACGAAACCCATGATTAGCGATACTGAAGATTGATGCATATCCATAATTGTTGATCAGGGTGAGGTAATTTTCACTTCCTTATATCTATGATTATCGCCCTTGTCTTCATCTAAGTGAGGTGGGAGTGTTCATCCATGACTGTAGTATTTCATAGATAGAAAATAATACAGTGATTGTTGAGTAAGTAAACGATTTCATCTGCGTTAATGATTTTAATATTGTTTAAGAGTAGAATAATACTTTTTGGGTATACCTATGATCATTTGATTTGCATAGCTAATGGGTATGGATTTATTTGATGCAACATTGATACATTGAAAAATATCTTATACGAATAACTCTACATGTTATTAATAGTGTATTCTTGTGTTGTCAATATGCTATGGATAGTTGTCGATACACTGTACTGTGCATGATGACTTATAAGAATGCTTATACTACTGGAAAACATGTATTATGCTATGTTTTTTTTTCATATAGAGGACATTTTATATATTATTTTCAAGCATTTGTTATAAGTTTGTTTTGTTGAAAAAACTCTATTATAAAACAATACTGCGTCTTATCAATAATGGATGAATGTATTGTCATTGTATTATGTGTAGTTGTCAATACACTATGCGTGGTGTAAGTTGACCTGTAAGATGGCAAGTTCTTCTGGAAAACATATATTATATTTTTTCATATAGGGGACATTTTCAAAATTATGACCAAGAAAGTATGCAATATGTTGGGGAGAATGTTAGAACAAGAATAATAAAGGAACGAACAATGTATGAAGAATTGACAAGAATGATATCGTTAAATGAGTAGCACAAACATACTCTTGCTTGGCATGGCAAATGAGTAAAATACCTTGTGCACATGCATGTGCATCAGTCAGGCTAGTTTATAGCAATGTGTATAATTTTGTGGATGAATGTTACAAGTTTATAGCTCAACAGTAGATATATGCTAGGATCATGAGGCCGGTGGCCACACATGACTGTCCATATCCATAAGCATTGAAGGTGACAAATTTATTAACCTAAACCTACTTGAAGCTGCCAATGACTATAAGGCTTTTAGGTAGGCCAAAGCATAAAAGAAGGAAATCTCAAATAAAAAACAAAAGGGTTTATCATTATGCAAGATGCTACGAGACTGATCGTACCTTCAAGACTTGCAAAAACCCTAATCCATGTTAGAAATATCAGAGACAAGTGTACTTTTTTGTTTATATATTTGGAATTTTATTTTTTTTATTTATTACACCTAATATATCAACACTTATCACTGAAGAATGCATAGCTTGTCAATGAAGTGATAACTTGTAGTCAATCGGTTCTTGTAACTGGTCAATTTTTAAAGGAAATTATTGCACATAATGTATAGTACTTGTCAATGAAAAATGCATAGCTTGTTAATATAATGATAACTTGTAGTCAATGACCAACGTTAGGTAGTCAACAGGTTCTTGTAACTGTTTGATTTTTAAAGGGAATAACAGCACCTAATTTATTAACACTTGTCAATGGCAAATGCATAGCTTATCAATATAGTGATAACTTGTAGTTAATAGCCAATGGCAAGTGGTCAACAGGTTTTTATAACTAGTTAATTTTTAAAAGAAATAACAGTACTTAATGTATCAACACTTATCAATGGTGGATGCATAGCTTGTCAATATAGTGATAATCACTTCTCAATTACCAACA